CAGAGCCACCGCCTTCACCCCCCGCAGCCTTGCGGGCGGGGCCGGTGGGCGGGGCAGGGGCCTGGCACAAGCCCCGCCCGGGCGCCCCGCGGGGGCCACCCCTCCCTTTCCACCCGCTCCGACCGAGCTCCTGGCCCTCGGAGGCTGGTCTCAGGGAGTGCACACGCGCACAGAACCGGCGCGCACACCGGCCCTCACACGCCGCAGTGTTTGGGGCGGGCTTCCCCGCGACCAACCTGAGGCTGGGAAGAGTCAGACCTGGCTTCACGTCCCACTGTTCCCTCTCTGCGTGGCACGGGACAAGGGATTCGACCTCCCGGGGCCTCCGATTCCCCCTTGGTGGAATGGAAACAGTAACCGTGTCTGCCTCAGAGCTGTTTAAGAATTAGATGAGACGATCTAATTTACCGGTCCGGTAAAGTGCACGCGCAGAGCCCGCCACAGGAGAAGCTCTCGGTAAACCCCGTCCGGGAGCAAAAGGGCAGGGAGGACCGCAGGAGTATCAGGAGTACTTCCTTCCTTCTCTGGGTAGCCAAGAGGGGGCGCTGCTGACCGGCCGCGCGCGCTTAGGGTCCTGCGCACCTTAGGCAATGAGGGCTAGATGGGGAGGCCCCGCCTCTTAATATCACCACCATCTAACACCGAACTGGGCACTGTTCTAGGCACCTTAAATGCATTACCTCACTCAACAGTCACGCAAGCCTATGAGGTTACACTATTGCTCACTTAAGCGAGCTAAGGCACAGAGAGGTTAAGTACCTCGCTTAAGATCACACAGCAAATAATTCAACCCTAGGCAGCAAGGCTCACAAGTCCAAGCTTATAGCCATTCCATTATGCCACCTCTCTTGAGAAAAGCTTTGTTTTATACAGTGGTGTATCTGTGTGGGCCAGGGCTCAGAACAGTGTCTGGCACATAGTAGGCACTCAGTATATATTTGTTGAATGAATAACAGTGCATACTATGTACTACTTTACAGATATTATTTCATATAATCCTAAAAACTTTTTTACTTAGCCACTATTATTACCTCCACTTTACAGATAAGAAAATTGAGGCTTAGAGTTAATAAGTACTTGGGGGCTCTTTTCTAAGGATAAGAAAGAACAGCCAGGGCCAAAGCCTGTGACTCAGTGTTCACTGTTCACCAGGCCACTCCCCTGCTCAGATCAGGATGGGCTCCCTGCCTCCTGCCCAAACCTAGCCCCTCAGTCTTCTCTGCAAAGCTCTTTAGCCCTGACCCACATTTCTGTGGAACTGGATTACTCAGCAGGCCAACTGACTTCATGCTTCCCATAGCAGCATAAAAGAATTGGATATTTAATGTTCCAAAAAAGCATATGGAAAAGTAGGATGTTGTAGGAGTTCCTATACTTATGGTTCAATATAGCCACCCCACACCTGTGGGGTGGGCACCATAACCTTTGCAAGGCTAAGGCATCTGAATGTCTTAATTCACCTAGGATTTGAGCAGTATCTCCGGTAATACCCCCACCCCCTTGCACTCACGCCTCTGTGCCTTTGCTCACACCATCTCTTCTGCCAGGAATTCTCTTCCCTCATCATCATCTCCTGCTGTCTAAATTGACTCATTCTTCCTTCCAGGCTTGGCACCAACACCCTTCCCCAGGAAGCCATCCCAGATGCCCTGTGAAAGTGTCCTTCCAGTCTTGTATCTGTATCTTACTACCCTGTGCCATGATGGTAGGTGGCTGGGACTGTGTTTGAGGAAAAGACTGGTTTGACAGGGACCTCTGGGGCCATGGGCATGTGGACTGACGCGTGGAGGGGAGGTCAGTGGAGGCCTCTATAATAGACACAACCTGGGACCATTCCTGGAGGTGCTGTGTACGTAGGGGGCGGGGTCCTCATTTTGCTGCCCCTTCCCTTCCCCTTAATCCTGGTCATTTGGGGAAGGCTACCTTCTCTGCATTGCACGCATGGGGAAACAGACCAGAGTGGACATGACTTGCCCAGGGACCTCTAGCTAGAAAACCACGTAATAGGTCTGGCCCCCTGCCAGTACCTTTTACTGGGTCTTATTGCTGATTGGGTTGGGCCAGGAAATCAACACCTTCCTTTCCTAGGTATCAACATGGCATGGCCAGCTTTGTTTAATCTGCCATGTGCGGGTAAGTGCCTTGTGGGGAACCGGAATGTGTGTGTGGGAGGAGCGAGTTCTCCATCTACCTGCCCAACATGGAGCTTTCTGTACAATATGGCTCTGTGCCCATGAGATTGAGCTGAGAAAGAATAGGGGGCAGCAGCACCTGAGGTGAGGTTCTGAGTGGGAGGTAAAGTAGCTCTGAACACAGGCTATTGTAGGAGTGGGCACCTCCCACTGTGGTGTGAGGGCAGGGTATCTCCCAAAGGACTCTCCAGGCCCTTCCTCCTCCTTTGAGAAGTCCTTTTATTCTTAGAGTTTTTGCCCCAGGGAGGTCCCCTGGGTAACTTCTCCCCCTCCCCTGTAGAATGAACCATGAACCTCAGCTTGCTGGGTGCCTAGCGTCTGGAGAGGGATGCTTTGAGCAGGAGGTCCCATTCCCTGGGGTAGGAAGGCAGGGGCTGTGAGGGATCAAATCCTCCAGCCCTGGAAGGCAGGGGCCCCTGAGGATGGGGGCGACAGCTGTGGTACAGGGCCAGGAACCTGACACCAGGAGTAGGTCCCAAATGTCCTTCAGGAAGAGCAGGGGGAGGGTGGGCAGCCTCCCTTGGAGCAGCAGGCAGCAGCCCCAGACCTTCTGGTGCATGTATGTATCCACCCCCACCTGTCCCCGCTACACCCTCCTGGTCAGGCGGACTAATTTCCTTTGCCTGGAGCTAACACCACAGGCCCTACAAACCACTCAGGAGGCCAGGGCCAGGCCTGCCCTTTTCCCTGGGTCCCTGGGGAAGGCGTTCTAGGTTCCAAATAAGAAAAGGTGAGCTGGGAGGAGCCCTTCCTGGATTTACAGTTAGGGCCTTCAGGCTTGAACATGGCTTAAGCTCTTAGTGAATGTGTGACTCTGGGCAAGTTAACTTCTCTGAGTCTTTGTGTCGTCTATAAACTGAGCTTGGCCTATATAGGCTGGTGCTCAAGGACGGGCAGTTCTCATTCCTGGCTCCGGCTCTAGCTCCTCTTCAGGGCTGGAAGAAGCCCCATCAGCATCAATCCTAATTGTTCTATGGTCCCCCAACCTCTCAGTGTGTCTGCATGCCCATAACAGGCTCTGGGGGGGGAAGGGAGGGGGAAACATCAGTAGTTTTAAAAGGCTGCTCAGGCAGTTTTATGGTGCAGCCACGTAGGAACCAGGTTACACAGTGCTGGGTCAACTGCATACCTTCACCCTCTCCCCTGTGGGGAGGGAAGGGGAGGGTGCAGGCACCCAGCTCTGGGCAGAGCTTCTCCACCTGGGGCTGGGGGTGGGGATGAGAAATAGGGGGGAAAGTGGGTAAAAGTTGAGAAGAAAGTGAAGGAGGAAGAAGAGAGTAAAGGAGAGGAGACTGGGCCAGGTGTTGGAAGGGAAGATGAAGGAAGGAGGAAGGAGAAAGAGGTGGTGAGTGGGTACGCAGGGAAGACAGGAGAGGGGCGTGCCATTTATCTGGCAGCCCCTGTCTGATCAGGGAGTTTTATTTTTGGCTGAGGAGTGAATATGATTTTCAAGGCTGGAGTCTGAAGGACCAGCTGGGCCCAGTGTCTCCTGGTGACAATTTCTTCATAAAAAGGTTACTCGCTGACCGTGGTTGTGCTTTACTCTCTGTGCCAGCCACCAGGCTCAGCACCAGTGTCATCTCCTTGTCTCCCCAGTGACGGCCCTTAGGGTGTGCCAGCCACCAGGCTCAGCACCAGTGTCATCTCGTCTCCCCAATGATGGCCCTTAGGATTACAGCACCCAGCCTGTTGGGGTGCAGCCAGGAGCCTTCCCCAGTCTACCCTCACGCTACCATCGTGCTTCACAGGTACTGTATGGTGGTGGAAGAGCTGCAGCAGATGAAAAAAGTTCAGTGAAATGAGAAAGGCTATCAAGCCCTGTTCGGGGCATTCATGGGAAACCTGGTGCCTTGGACCAGCCAGTAGCCCGTGGGAGTATGGGAGTAAAGGAACCCTGAGTGTCCCCAACCCAGGACTGTGTAAGGAGCACAGTGTGGGGAAACTGGGTGCCTGGTATGTCAACTCAAGTTCATACCTGTGACAGAGAGCCTGTCCCTGGTCCCCAGTGGTGGGCGTGGCCTCCTTCCCAAATCCTGGACAGAAGCCTCTGATCAGAGTGAGGTTTCCACGTGAGAACCCCACATCCCCAGTCCTTCATTCCAGAGACTGCTGAGCTCAAGGCTACACCAGCACAGTCATGGGTTTGGCTGACAAATGAGCTACCAAAACCACTGTGCAGCTTTGACTCCCAGCATTGTGGGGGATGGTGGAAGCCTCTGTCTGCTGAGGAAGGTCCTGGAAGAGCCCAGAACTGAAACTGAGTTCCTGCACAGTGGGTGCTATAGGAGCCCGCTCTGACCTGGTGACAGGCTGCAGCTCTGTCTCTCTCACTGCCTTATCCTCACTCTCCAATCACCTATTTTTCAGAGAAGTGACTCTTCTTGCCCTGGCCTGCGAAGTTGGTGGTGGGAGATCAGAGGCTGGACGTCTGACCCAGGGCTCTCTGCTCAACCCCCTCACCAAGTTCCTCTTGGTGCTGAGCAGAGGTTTTCCTTGGGACCCCCCCACTCCCGCCACCCTGCAATGGGCTGAGCTGAAAGGAGAGCATAGGTGCAAGGCTCAGGAAATAGGCCTCGGCAGATGGTAGGTGGGCCTGGAACACAGGCTCACACAGCGTCAGAGAGGTGCTGTCGCCCAGAAAGAAGCCCTAAATGCACAGGGCTCCAGCTCCTCAGGGAACCGGGAGGGAGACTAGCAGAGATGCCCATGGAAACAGCAGCCAGGGATGTCCTAGGCTGGGAACGCCCTAGTGGTGGACACCTTGGAGCCCTGGGCTCCCCCAGAAACAGGTGTTTACTGAGAACTGTGTCAGTGCCAAAGCTTGTGAACTATTTCCTATACTTCCATTGTTTTATACAGATAAACTCAGAGAATGTCCAAGGTTCCCTATGAAGACAGCACTCTTGCTGTCTGCGTGTTAAAGTGCTCTGAACAGGAGGTGAGAAAGGGGCGGCATCCCTGGGTATGTGCTTGAGATAACCGCGCCAGTGGTGTCACAGAAGATAATGTTCTGGTGGGAGGCTGAGGCCCAGGGAGAGGAAGGGACTTCTCCAGTGTCACATGGTGATGAGGCTCCGGGGCTGGACCAGTGCGCCATGGCCATCCTCCTGTGGCCTGCCGGCTGAAGGTGAGAAAGGCTTTGGGGAGTGCAGGTGGCCGAGTCAGGCCTCCCCCTCGTCCTCGCTGGTACAACCCTCGGGCACCACTGGGTCTAGGGATGCCCGGGTCTCTAAGTACTCGGCCTTGAACTGCTCCAGCTCCCGAAGCTCAGCCTCCAGCCGCTCCCGGTGGACTGTCCTCAGTTGCTGCAGCTGCTTCATGGGAAATGGGTTCATGTCATTGAAGGCGATGTTCCTCAGCTTCCTGCGGGGAGAGCACAGTCAGCCCGGAGCTCAGTGCCTTCCCAGGCTCACCTACATTCATTCTGCCCACATGGCTGAGGCCTCTGGCCCCTGCCTCAGGGAACTGACCTTCCAGAGAAGAAAGGTGAAAAAGAAGACAATTTCCACCCAAAGTCAAATGTACTGAGGCAGAGGAAGCTTAGGGCTGGCTACGGGAACTCTAACCTACTGAGGAAAGGACGGTCAGGGAAGCTTCCTGAAGGAGGTGATGCACAAGCAGGTGGTGGGAGCGGTGGAAGGGGTGGAAGGAGCAGGGGTGGGTTCTCACCCGCTGTTGCATATGGTCTTGGTGAAGAAGCGCAGGTACTGGTATATCTCCAAGCTGTCCTGCAGCCTCAGGATCTCTTCCTCATTGTACTTGAAAATGGCCAAGGCATAGCGGAATAACACCTGGGGGCAAAGTGGGGGCTCAGGTGGGGAATGGGGGACCAGGGCAGGTAATCCCCAGAGGGAAGAGAATCCACACACCAGGCAGAGCGGGAGTCCCTGCACAGGCTGCAGAGGTTGAAACCTTGGAGGCGACGTGTGTGCGTGGGGAGGCCACAGGGGAGGGGGAGATTGGAAATCCCAGGGGGACACAGCTTGGACTCTGGGGATTGAGGCGCAGTCCTGGCTCTACCTTGACTTGTTCTGGGACCCTGGGCGAGGGGTTGACCCGGGTAGGCCTAACGGGAATGATACTCTCTTACATGGGGCATCAGCAGGTATTGAATGAGACAAGAAATTCGAGGGTGCTCTGTGAACTGTGGGGTGCAGTATGTTATCAACCACCATGTGGAAACAGGGGTGGAGGGTGGGGGGAGGGTCTGCCCAGGGTCTCCGAAGCAAGGTCAGGGGCAGAACTGGGACCAGATCCAAGTGCCAATCTCCCATTCCAGGGCTCGGTCCAAACAGGAGGAAGAGGAGAAGCCCAGGTGACTGGAGGGGCAGCGGATGGAGTAGGGATGTGCCTTCTGGGGCATGCTCAAGCTTCCTCTCCAGGGAAAGCCCCCCGCCCGCCAATAACTTTAGAAAGCATCTTTGGAGACAGAACCACCACTTCCTGTCACGTGTGCAAAGCACTTTAGTTTACAAAGCCATACTCCCAGATGTCCTCAACAGCCTGACAGGTGACACTATCCTCTCATTCTCCAGGGGCAGACTCGAGACCCAGAGGATGACAGGACTTACCCAGGACCCTCCTGCTCCTACCTTGGTGCCCTCATATAGGAAGGCGTCCCAGACCTGGAGGAGGATATTGCTGATGAGACTGTCGGCAAAGACCACAAGGAACCAGTTGAAGGTGATGAAGGAGAGGTCCACGCGGTGCTGCCCCAGGTGGGCCATCAGTCTGGGCAGCTTCTCTGAGAGGAGGTCCTGGAGCACCCGCTGGTCCACCTGGAGGCCGGTGAGAGGGCCCCTAGTCAGCTGCTGCCCCAGGGAAGGGGCTACCTTGCTCCCTGCCTGCCCCTTCACACCCAGCCAGTCTACACGTAGTCCTAGAGCTGCTCAGCATGGGTCCCACCCTGCCCAGGGTGTGCAGAGCGCAGGGAGGAGCTAGAGACCAGCCTGGCTGGGAGAAGGTACAGGAGCAGCACATCATTCCTCTGCTCCCCGGTTGGAGCACTGGGCTTTGAAACAGAGGTCTCTGTGGACTGTTGAGGTCTTGGCCAGGGGAGTTTTAGCCCTTTTGCCCCTCTGAGCCTCATACCACGCAGGAGCTTAGACTTGTATTGCCTGACACATGGCTGCTTCTCTATACCCATTTTGGGCCTCATGCAGAAGATGCTCAGTGCATGTTTGGGGAAAGGTCCTGGCGGCAGGTAGTGGGGGGAGTCACACTGTCCTGCCACCCCAGACATCAAGGAAACCTAAAGAGGGATGCTACTGGGCAATGGTTGCCAGTGACCTCTCGATGTGGTCACTGTTATGCCTCTGTCCTTGTTTTACTTGACTGGGCTGCTGACTCCAAGCACTGGCTCCAAGACCCGATTCTTTTGTGGTTTGCCTCCCACCTCCAGGACAGGCCCATGTAAGTCTCCTTTTGCTCTTCCTTTCCTGTAACTGTGGGTTTCTCAGCCCTCCCCCTCCATTTACATCCTCTTCCTGGTGTTAGCTGTGGGCTGTTGCGGCCTGGTGTCCAGCTCAAAATCTTGGGTAATTCATTCAATCTAAGATGCCACCGAGCCTTCTGAAGGATTTACAGATAAACTGATGTGTCTGGGATTACTTCAAGACCATCAAAACAGGAGGAGTGGGTGGGCGTTTAGATGAGACCGCACTGGCCTCCCTATATTGATAATTATTGAAACTAGATGGATGATGGATACATGGAGGTTCATATTACATTTTCTCGATTATTTTGTACATTTGAAATTTTCTATACTAAAAAATGAAAACAAAAACAACCCATCACAACTCAATTTTAGAGGTGTGGAAACATGAACATAAAATATTTCCTAGCCTGCCTTGCAACTAGAGATGCCAAGTGGTACTGTTCTGACCAGTGGGTGTAAGCAGAAATTGCTGGGTTGGGGAAAGCTGTTTGAAAGGAAGCAAGTTCTTGCCTTTTACCTTCTGCTTCTTCCACCCTGGACCATGGACACAGTGCCAGAGGTGGTACAGCCATCTTGTGACCACGAGATGACAAGGAGGATGAAAGTCATATGCTAGGATGGCAGAGAGCTAGAACGAACCTTCAGCTTTGTCATTACTTGAGAAGAATAATCCCCCACTTAAGCCACTAATAGGTTGGGCCTCCCTTCCATGCAGCCAAATACATCCTTCCTGCTTCACCACCTATTTCTTGATCTAAATCTTGATCTCTAGCCCTGACCTTTCTCCTCCATACCTGAACACCCACTGTGTCCTGACCTCCCCACCCAGGTGGATGTTCCAGAAGGAGGAAGTGGTTTTGGGCAATTGCAAGAGGAAAGGAGAACAGGATGAATAGGCAGGTAATAGCTTAGTAGGTTTGGGGTGGGAAGTGAGAAAGTTCCCTCTGGGTGGCCTCTCTCCATAAAGCAGATGGTGCTGATGCAGCCAGAATGAGACACTGGGTGAGACAGGAGAGATGGGACAGTAAAGACAAGAGGTTTGAAGTGGCTTTGCATTTAAGCCTCTCAAAAGCCCAGGAAGTTCAAAACCAGACAAGCCTGGGGTCTGAGAGGTGATGTCACTTGCCGAGGCCACACAGCTGATTACTGGAGAGGTCGACTCTGACTTAGCTCCACTGGACTCCAGGGCTGGCTTGTGCTCAGAGGGCAGTTGAGGAGGTCATGAGATGATGAAGGCAGCTGTGCTTCTCAGTAGGAAGTGATGAGTGTGTGTGAAGAATCATTACCTCTTTCATCCTCCCAGTCCCATCTTCCACCCCACCTGACCTGTTTTGAAATTCTTTACTGGCAAATAACAAGTGACACTAGATTTTCCTCTCTTCCCCTCCCCAGGAAACCAACTGTTTCTAATAACATAATGTCACCACTAGAATAACAACAGTCTATCTCGTGGGGAGGGCCCCAACAATTCTAAAGGTCATCAGCTCTCACCGGAACTCCCTAGTAGTCCCATTGTACAGAGGGATAAATGGAAGCCTGAGAGATTCTTAACTTTTCTAAGATTCACTGGCTCATAGGAGCAACTCAGCAGCAGACCTGTGGGGAGTTTTAGCCCTTTTGCCCCTCTGAGCCTCATGCCTCATAGGAGCAACTCAGCAGCAGACCTGAAGATAGCAGTCCTTAAGTCCTCTCCCTCCCTTGCTCACCTGGGACGCTGTCAATGTCTTGCTGTAGTAATCAGCTGGCATGATGGTCTCCACGATGGCCACCAGGCACCAGAAAGCACTCTCCTCTTCATCCAGGACCAGCAGAGCAATGGCCGCCAGCCTGGTGTGGGAGGGAAGGAGGCCTGGAGTGACATGCAGAAGTCACAGCCAGGCAGCTTCCCACAGAAGTGGCTCCTTGAGTACCGGAGGGAAGTCCTGCCCAATCCCCGTCCCTAACCAGGCTGATCTTGGTACCTGGGGTGAGAGGAACAAGGTTTTGGGGAGGACTACATAGGGGATTTCTGGAGCAAATGGGATTATCTTAGAGCAGGAGTTCTGGAGTCCTGTTGCCTGGGTGTAAATCCTGGTCCTGCTTCTTCCTTGCTGGGTGACCTTGGGCAAGTTACTTAGCCTCTCTGAGCCTCAGCGTCCTCCTAATAATCACAGGACTGCTATGAGGATGAACATAGTTAAACACATGTTAAATGCCAAGCAAAAGACCTGACACATGAGTGCTTTATAAATGTTTGCTACCCTCATCTTAATATCCACAGGCTTTGCTTGAGACCTCTGCAAGTGTGCTAAGTTCTCCAAGCCTCAGTTTCATCTGTAAAGTAGAATTAACAATAGCTATTTTCCAGGGCTGCGAGACATTCTGAACAAGACAGACCTTCCTTGCCTTGCTCACTGTCTGGCATATACTAGGTGCTCAAACACAGAGTTTTTTTCTTCCTTTGCTTCCCCGCTCCCCCAAAGTTATCATGAGGCTCTGATGAAATCAAGGGTAAGAAAGAAAAAACCCACAGTGCTGAGCAGGGCAGTCTGCCTGGAAGAAGTACTATTTCCTCTTTCTCCCAGCTTTCCTGGCAGAGCTCTTTCAGGGCCAATCCAAGAATATATCCCCCAAAATGCACTTGTCTGTCAAGATGCTAAGCGAACGCAAGATCCCACATTCAAAGATGGTTAGGGAATGCTGTATAGCTTAGCTCCCTTTTAGAGGCTTAGGATACAGAATATCTTAGCAAAGCCTCTTGGAAATCCTGCAGTGACAAAACCCTGTGTGACTCTCTAATCCAAGGCTGTCCAGTGGGGCAGTGGAGCCCCTTTTATACACTGCACCCGCTAAACACCTTTGGGGAGATGCCATTTTACAGCATTGTTAAGGCTCACACTCTTGATGGGCTTATAGAACACATGTCATTGTCCAGATATTTATGCTTCTTTGGGCTCTTACTAGATTGGATTCATGAACTCCAACCTCTTCTGAGGTTCACGCTTTTTTACGAAACAGGTTCCACTCTCAAAACTAAAAAGAAACCCCTTTTATCTCTCTAGTAAGGGCAGGAAAGAATTTCTTTTTACCCTGGGTAAAATATTTATACAAACTTTCCTGAATCTGAGCTGAGTGGATGGAGAGAACAATACAAGTCTCCTGGGTAACAGGAAATTCTGCCCTCTCAGAGCTGGAAAAGGGAGCAGGGCACTTCACAGGTCATGTGTTCAGGGACAGCAAATGTGTGATACACTGGCCACCATTC